AGAAAGCCCTTCAGTGCTCTGGCCTTCTCCCACGATGGGAAGCACCTGGTCACCGGGGAGGTAAGAGAAACACACCTGAGGCTCACACACACACACCTGAGGCTCACACACACACCTGAGGCTCACACACACCTGAGGCTCACACACACCTGAGGCTCACACACACACACACACACACACACACACACCTGAGGCTCACACACACCTGAGGCTCACACACACACCTGAGGCTCACACACACCTGAGGCTCACACACACACCTGAGGCTCACACACACACCTGAGGCTCACACACACACACCTGAGGCTCACACACACACACCTGAGGCTCACACACACACCTGAGGCTCACACACACACACCTGAGGCTCACACACCTGAGGCTCACACACACACCTGAGGCTCACACACACACCTGAGGCTCACACACACACCTGAGGCTCACACACACACCTGAGGCTCACACACCTGAGGCTCACACACACACACCTGAGGCTCACACACACATCTGAGGCTCACACACACACACCTGAGGCTCACACACACACCTGAGGCTCACACACACACCTGAGGCTCACACACCTGAGGCTCACACACACACCTGAGGCTCACACACCTGAGACTCACACACACACCTGAGGCTCACACACACATCTGAGGCTCACACACCTGAGGACACACAACACACACCTGAGGACACACACCTGAGGACCCACACACACACACCTGAGGCTCACACACCTGAGGCTCACACACACACCTGAGGCTCACACACACATCTGAGGCTCACACACACCTGAGGCTCACACACACCTGAGGCTCACACACACACCTGAGGCTCACACACACACCTGAGGCTCACACACGCACCTGAGGCTCACACACATCTGAGGCTCACACACACATCTGAGGCTCACACACACACCTGAGGCTCACACACACCTGAGGCTCACACACATCTGAGGCTCACACACACACCTGAGGCTCACACACACACCTGAGGCTCACACACATCTGAGGCTCACACACACCTGAGGCTCACACACACCTGAGGCTCACACACACACCTGAGGCTCACACACACCTGAGGCTCACACACACCTGAGGCTCACACACACACACCTGAGGCTCACACACACACCTGAGGCTCACACACACATCTGAGGCTCACACACACACCTGAGGCTCACACATGCACCTGAGGCTCACACACATCTGAGGCTCACACACACCTGAGGCTCACACACATCTGAGGCTCACACACACACCTGAGGCTCACACACACCTGAGGCTCACACACACACCTGAGGCTCACACACACACCTGAGGCTCACACACACACCTGAGGCTCACACACACACACCTGAGGCTCACACACACACCTGAGGCTCACACACACACCTGAGGCTCACACACACATCTGAGGCTCACATACACATCTGAGGCTCACATACACACCTGAGGCTCACACACACACCTGAGGCTCACACACACACCTGAGGCTCACACACACACCTGAGGCTCACACACACATCTGAGGCTCACACACACACCTGAGGCTCACACACACACCTGAGGCTCACACACACATCTGAGGCTCACATACACATCTGAGGCTCACACACACACCTGAGGCTCACACACACACCTGAGGCTCACACACACACCTGAGGCTCACACACACATCTGAGGCTCACACACACATCTGAGGCACACGCACGCATCTGAGGCTCACACACACACCTGAGGCACACGCACCTGAGGCTCACACACACACCTGAGGCAGGACAGGTGGAGGTGTGTATGTATTGTCCCTCCTCCTGCCCTTGAGCAAGGCACCTGCTGTACCTGCACGCTCAATCAATCAATCAATGTTTATTTATATAGCCCAATATCACAAATGTTACATTTGTCTCAGTGGACTTTACAGTTTGTCACATAGAGCCAACATGTTGGTTCAACATATTCCACTCAGTGAAACGTTGAAGGCTGGCCCACCGTCATGGTCCAGAAGTAACAGGAAATAAATGTTGAACTACAATTTAAGACCAAATAAAAATGTCTAGGCCACCAAGGCAAATGCTGGTAGGGCTGCTCGTGTCATCTCTTAAAGATGTTTTGCAAGAAACACCAGCCTGTTGACATGGTCTGGTTTCAGAGATGAGCGCAGGCAGGTGACAATATTGCCACCTGTACTGAAGACCCTCAGCCACGCCCCGGCACATGGGGTGACGCCGGCCAATCACAAAGCTTTGATGCGTTCAAGTGCATTATTCTGGCACAGGAAGATTATGTTACAGGACATTAACGATAAAACAGAATATTGTTGTTCTATTTTTAGACACATCTTGCGATCGACTGGTTGGGCACCCCTGGGCTAGACCATAGGTCTGTTGTGGTCGCAAAGTAGTCAGCTGAAGCCACATCTCTCTCAACTTCCCCACGGCATTTGTCACATAGCGCAGGCAGCGCAGACCTGCTGAAATAATACCGAGACGGCATCGCGTAACGCTTGTCCAACGTGTTGACAAGTTGCTTAAAGCCCTGGTTGCTAACAGTGCTATCTGGGCACATATCTTTAGCGATGTGAAATGTAATGGCAAAGTACTTGCAAATAGTGGAAATAGTTTGACCCTTCTTTTTAACGAGTTGCTGCTCTTGTTCTGACATCTTCGCTCGCGCTGAACACTCACAACACATGTCACTCCCACGTGGCCGAGTGGGCTTTTAGGGAGGGGCGAAAGCGCACCCAGCAAAATAATCGTATTTAGTCAATTATGCTGTTTTCATAATCGTCGCAAGCCATAATCGTAATCGCGATTAAAATACGATTAATTGCACAGCCCTAGTACATTGTGGAAGAAGTCTTTTTGATGGAAAACGGATCTATCTCTCCAAGAATATAATGAAGAAATATCCCTACCCTTTTATTGTATTGCCTTGCTGGCCTTTAGTTCGTAATGTTGTTGTAACCAGCATGCTAGTGCCATGTGTAATGTGACAATAAAGATTTAAATACTAAACACATTTCACTGTGTGCATGAACATGTGGGATAAACAAAGAGGGTCCACCAATTCTATACCTGAGTGTGTTTCTCTGTGTGCGTTTGTTTCTGTGTGTGTGTGTGTGTGTGTGTGTGTGTGTGTGTGTCAGAGTGGTCACATGCCCTGTGTGCGGGTGTGGGAGTTGGAGGGGGGGCAAGTGGCGGAGGTTCAGTCTCATAAATACGGAGTCTCCTGCGTGGCGTTCTCCACCAACAGCTGCTACATCGTCTCCGTGGGATACCAGCACGACATGACCGTCAACGTGTGGGACTGGAGGGTGAGCACGAGCAACATGTGTCCCCTCTTCTTCATGTCTCTTCTACATCAACATGTGTCCCCTCTTCTTCATGTCTCTTCTACATCAACATGTGTCCTCTCTTCTTCATGTCTCTTCTACATCAACATGTGTCCCCTCTTCTTCATGTCTCTTCTACATCAACATGTCGTACCCTCTTCTTCATGTCTCTTCTACATCAAACATGTCTGTCTCCCTCTTCGTCATGTCTCTTCTACATTCAACATCTGTCCCCTCTTCTTCATGTCTCTTCTACATCAAACATGTTGTCTACTCTTCTTGCATGTCTCTTCTACATTCAAACATGTGTCTACTCTCTTCATGTCTCTTCTACATCAACATGTGTCCCTCTTCTTCATGTCTCTTCTACATCAAACATGTGTCCCCTCTTTCTTCATGTCTCTTCTACATCAACATGTGTCCCCTCTTCTTCATGTCTCTTCTACATTCAACATGTGTCCCCTCTTCTTCATGTCTCTTCTACATCAACATGTGTCCCCTCTTCTTCATGTCTCTTCTACATCAACATGTGTCCCCTCTTCTTCATGTCTCTTCTACATCAACATGTGTCCCCTCTTCTTCATGTCTCTCTACATCAACATGTGTCCCCTCTTCTTCATGTCTCTTCTACATCAAACATGTGTCCCCCTCTTCTTCATGTCTCTTCTACATCAACATGTGTCCCCCTCTTCTTCATGTCTCTCTCTACATCAACATGTGTCCCCTCTTCTTCATGTCTCTTCTCTACATCAACATGTGTCCCCCTTTCTTTATGTCTCTTCTACATCAACATGTGTCCCCCTCTTTCTTCATGTCTCTCTACATCAACATGTGTCCCCTCTTCTTCATGTCTCTTCTACATCAACATGTTGTCCCCTCTTCTTCATGTCTCTTCTACATCAACATGTGTCCCCTCTTCTTCATGTCTCTTCTACATCAACATGTGTCCCCTCTTCTTCATGTCTCTTCTACATCAACATGTGTCCCCTCTTCTTCATGTCTCTTCTACATCAACATGTGTCCCCTCTTCTTCATGTCTCTTCTACATCAACATGTGTCCCCTCTTCTTCATGTCTCTTCTACATCAACATGTGTCCCCTCTTTTCATGTCTCTTCTACATCAACATGTGTCCCCTCTTCCATGTCTCTTCTACATCAACATGTGTCCCCTCTTCTTCATGTCTCTTCTACATCAACATGTGTCCCCTCTCTTCATGTCTCTTCTACATCAACATGTGTCCCCTCTTCTTCATGTCTCTTCTACATCAACATGTGTCCCCTCTTCTTCATGTCTCTTCTACATCAACATGTGTCCCCTCTTCTTCATGTCTCTTCTACATCAACATGTGTCCCCTCTTTCATGTCTCTTCTACACTTCTCTTCAACATACATGTGTCCCCTCTTCTTCATGTCTCTTCTACATCAAACATGTGTCCCCTCTTCTTCATGTCTCTTCTACATCAACATGTGTCCCCCTCTTCTTCATGTCTCTTCTACATCAACATGTGTCCCCTCTTCTTCATGTCTCTTCTACATCACTGTGTCCCCTCTTCTTCATGTCTTCTTCTACATCAACATGTGTCCCCTCTTCTTCATGTCTCTTCTACATCAACATGTGTCCCCTCTTCTTCATGTCTCTTCTACATCAACATTGTCCCTCTTCTTCATGTCTCTTCTACATCAACATGTGTCCCCTCTTCTTCATGCTCTTCTACATCAACATGTGTCCCCTCTTCTTCATGTCTCTCTACATCAACATGTGTCCCCTCTTCTCTTCATGTCTCTTCTACATCAACATGTGTCCCCTCTTCTTCATGTCTCTTCTACATCACCATGTGTCCCCTCTTCTTCATGTCTCTTCTACATCACCATGTGTCCCCTCTTCTCATGTCTCTTCTACATCAACATGTGTCCCCTCTTCTTCATGTCTCTTTTCTACATCACATGTGTCCCCTCTTCTTCATGTCTCTTCTACATCAACATGTGTCCCCTCTTCTTCATGTCTCTTCTACATCAACATGTGTCCCCTCTTCTTCATGTCTCTTCTCATCAACATGTGTCCCCTCTTCTTCATGTCTCTTCTACATCAACATGTGTCCCCTCTTCTTCATGTCTCTTCTACATCAACATGTGTCCCCTCTTCTTCAATGTCTCTTCTACATCAACATGTGTCCCCTCTTCTTCATGTCTCTTCTACATCAACATGTGTCCCCTCTTCTTCATGTCTCTTCTACATCAACATGTGGTCCCCTCTTCTTCATGTCTCTTCTTACATCAATGTGTCCCCTCTTCTTCATGTCTCTTCTATCATCAACATGTGTACCCCTCTTCTTCATGTCTCTTCTACATCAACATGTGTCCCCTCTTCTTCATGTCTCTTCTACATCACATGTGTCCCCTCTTCTTCACTGTCTCTTCTACATCAACATGTGGTCCCCTCTTCTTCATGTCTCTTCTTCATCAACATGTGTCCTCCTCTTCTTCATGTCTCTTCTACATCAACATGTGTCCCCTCTTCTTCATGTCTTTCTACATCAACATGTGTCTCCTCTTCTTCATGTCTCTTCTTCATCAACATGTGTCCCTCTTCTTCATGTCTCTTCTACATCAACATGTGGTCCCCTCTTCTTCATGTCTCTATCAACATGTGTCCCTCTTCTTCAGGTCTCTTCTTCATCAACATGTGTCCCCTCTTCTTCATGTCTCTTCTCATCAACATGTGTCCCCTCTTCTTCATGTCTCTTCTCATCAACATGTGTCCCCTCTTCGTCATGTCTCTTCTACATCAACATGTGTCCCCTCTTCTTCATGTCTCTTCTACATCAACATGTGTCCCCTCTTCTCATGTCTCTTTCTACATCAACATGTGTCCCCTCTTCTTCATGTCTCTTCTACATCAACATGTGTCCCCTCTTCTTCATGTCTCTTCTACATCAACATGTGTCCCCTCTTCTTCAGGTCTCTTCGACATCAACATGTGTCCCCTCTTCTTCATGTCTCTCTTCTACATCAACATGTGTCCCCTCTTCTTCATGTCTCTTCTACATCAACATGTGTCCCCTCTTCTTCATGTCTCTTCTACATCAACATGTGTCCCCTCTTCTTCATGTCTCTTCTACATCAACATGTGTCCCCTCTTCTACATCAACATGTGTCCCCTCTTCTTCATGTCTCTTCTACATCAACATGTGTCCCTCTTCTACATCAACATGTGTCCCCTCTTCTTCATGTCTCTTCTACATCAACATGTGTCCCCTCTTCTTCATGTCTCTTCTACATCAACATGTGTCCCCTCTTCTTCATGTCTCTTCTACATCAACATGTGTCCCCTCTTCTTCATGTCTCTTCTACATCATGTGTCCCCTCTTCTTCATGTCTCTTCTACATCAACATGTGTCCCCTCTTCTTCATGTCTCTACTACATCATGTGTCCCCTCTTCTTCATGTCTCTTCTACATCATGTGTCCCCTCTTCTTCATGTCTCTTCTACATCAACATGTGTCCCCTCTTCTTCATGTCTCTTCTACATCAACATGTGTCCCCTCTTCTTCATGTCTCTTCTACATCATGTGTCCCCTCTTCTTCATGTCTCTTCTACATCAACATGTGTCCTCTTCTCATGTCTCTTCTACATCAACATGTGTCCCCTCTTCTTCATGTCTCTTCTACATCAACATGTGTCCCCTCTTCTTCATGTCTCTTCTACATCAACATGTGTCCCCTCTTCTTCATGTCTCTTCTACATCAACATGTGTCCCCTCTTCTTCATGTCTCTTCTACATCAACATGTGTCCCCTCTTCTTCATGTCTCTTCTACATCAACATGTGTCCCTCTTCTTCATGTCTCTTCTACATCAACATGTGTCCCCTCTTCTTCATGTCTCTTCTACATCAACATGTGTCCCCTCTTCTTCATGTCTCTTCTACATCAACATGTGTCCCCTCTTCTTCATGTCTCTTCTACATCAACATGTGTCCCCTCTTCTTCATGTCTCTTCTACATCAACATGTGTCCCCTCTTCTTCATGTCTCTTCTACATCAACATGTGTCCCATCTTCTTCATGCTCTTCTACATAGGCTCCTCTTCCATGTCTCTTCTTCATCAACATGTGTCCCCTCTTCTTCATGTCTCTTCTTCATCAACATGTGTCCCCTCTTCTTCATGTCTCTTCTTCATCAACATGTGTCCTCTCTTCTCCATGTCTCTCTACATCAACATGTGTCCCCTCTTCTTCATGTCTCTTCTACATCATGTGTCCCCTCTTCTTCATGTCTCTTCTTCATCAACATGTGTCCCCTCTTCTTCATGTCTCTTCTACATCAACATGTGTCCCCTCTTCTTCATGTCTCTTCTACATCAACATGTGTCCCCTTCTTATCATGTCTTCTTCTACATCATGTGTCCCCCTCTTCTTCATGTCTCTTCTTCATCAACATGTGTCCCCTCTTCTTCATGTCTCTTCTACATCAACATGTGTCCCCTCTTCTTCATGTCTCTTCTACATCATGTGTCCCCTCTTCTTCATGTCTCTTCTTCATCAACATGTGTCCCCTCTTCTTCATGTCTCTTCTACATCAACATGTGTCCCCTCTTCTTCATGTCTCTTCTACATCAACATGTGTCCCCTCTTCTTCATGTCTCTTCTACATCAACATGTGTCCCCTCTGTGGAAAGAGACTCTGAAAGTCTCAGGAACAAAGATTCTCTCTCTTTTTGATCCATTTCTATAAAAACCTGTCTGAAAATGAGCTGATCAGATTTTGGTCACTTTATGATGTCATAACGATGTTTTGTCTTGTGTAACCAGTAGCCAATCAGCAACCAAGGTAACCCCCCTCCCCCCCACCTTATCACATGAACCTCCTCCTAGAGCACCATTGAGTTCTTTGTAACCAAATCTCTCTCATGCCCCTTTCACACCAACGCGTTTTCAGCTCTGGCTCGGAGCTGGAACTTGAAAAGTACCTTTTTTCCTGTTCACACCGCAGAGGCGCCGGCTCTTAGCTCCGGAATCCGGTTCACTTCCAGCTCCAAAAAATTGTCGGTCTAGAGGCAAGAGCTTCGGAGCTAAGAGGCGGCGTCGCTTACGTCTCTCTTACGTCGAGGCGGGGGCAGGGGCATGTGATGTTTGTAAAGTTCCAAGTAAAGTCGTCCCTTGTAAAGTCGTCCGATGCCTTCCATTTCGTTTTGTAAGAGGATAACCAAAGCGAACAGCGCTTCAATACAATCGGCCATTGTTGTTGTTGTCGATGTGAGGGATGTCCGCGCGGTTTGGATTTTATGAAGCAGGCACGTAAACGGTGACGTCATGACGCAGCAGCAGCAGCTCTGGGCGGTGTGAACAGAGCGGGAGCAGAAAAGGGAAACCGGAGCTGAACCAGAAAAGCTCCCGCTCGGAGCTAGAAAGAGAAAAGCGCTGGTGTGAAAGCCGCATCTGAGGGGCTCCTTATTTTCATCTAAAGTAACAGACAGAGAATCAGCACTTTGGAAACAGGGCTGAAACAGAGGGGATTATGGGTAATGCTGCAATGATCTGTTTGGTGTTTCAGCCAATCAGAGACAGGCTCTGGATATATCTGAGACCTGTGAGATATTGATGAGAAACAGTGTAATAGGAGACGTCTAATAAACAAGACGGACTTTACATACTACCAGCAAAACAGACAAAACAGAAGAAAGAAGAAAAGTACATAGAAACACAGTCCAAATAATATTCAAGTGTCTTCATTCTCCCAATCATGTTGTAGACCATTAGGCTCCACGAAGTCGTAAAAGTTTTTCCAGATTTCCCAAAACCTATCCAGTTTGTTTTTAAGGAAAACACGCATCCTTTCAAGAGCAAGGTAGAAAGTCATCCCTTTCAGCCATTGAGAAAGTCCACAGGTTGATGGGAGGATGTTAACATTTACGGCGTTTGTTTGCTGTGGAGCTGATGTCGTCCTTCCCGTCCTTCCTTTGATCAGAAAGGTTCGATCATCGCCTCCAACAAGGTGTCCAGCCGAGTGTCCGCCGTCTCTTTCTCGCAGGACAACAGCTACTTCGTCACCGCAGGAAACAGACACGTCAAGTTCTGGTACCTCGACGCCTCCAAAGAACGACGGGTAATGTAACAGCCAATCACAGCTCATCTATACTGTCTCTCCTCTAACAGCCAATCACAGCTCACCTACAGTGCATGTCCTCTAACAGCCAATCACAGCTCATCTGCAGTGCATGTCCTCAACAGCCAATCACTACTCATTTACACTGTCTGTCCTCTTATAGCCAATCACTACTCATTTACACTGTCTGTCTTCTAACAGCCAATCACAGCTCATTTACACTGTCTCTCCTCTAACAGCCAATCACAGCTCATCTATAGTGCATGTCTTCTAACAGCCAATCACAGCTCATCTACACTGTCTGTCCTTTAATCAGCCAATCACAGCCTAATTTCACGATAGTTTTAACAAACCTATTTTCTCCCCGTGTCCAGGTGAACAGCACGGTGCCTCTGATTGGTCGGTCGGGGTTGCTAGGTGACCATAAGAACAGCGTGTTCAGTGGGGTGGCGTGCGGGCGTGGCCCCGCAGCGTCCAGCACTTATTGCATCACCAGCTCCGGCCTGCTGTGTCGGTTCAACAGCAGCCGTCAGCTGGAGGCGTGGGTCGACCTCAAGGTGAGCAACACAGGAACATACTGTACGACCTAAACTACACCTGTACGAAACACCTGTACGACCTAAACTACACCTGTACGACCTAAACTACACCTGTACGACCTAAACTACATCTCTACGACCTAAACTACACCTGTACGACCTAAACTACACCTGTACGACCTAAACTACACCTGTACGAAACACCTGTACGACCTAAACTACACCTGTACAACCTAAACTACACCTCTACGACCTAAACTACACAATTTAGAATTCACCTATAAGACTTAAAATGTCGAACTTGAAATACACCTTAACTTAAGATACACCTGCACATTTAAAAACTCTGTGTACGATGGGAAAAACACAAACCTTTTAAAAATGTACAAAATAAGAGCTCCTTGTTATTGAAGACATGCTGCTCTGAAAACCTAAACATGTTGTTGTTGTTGACAGACGTCGTCGGCGAGCTGTCTGGCCATCAGCGAGGACTTTATCTTCTGTGGATGTGCTGACGGTGCCATCAGAGCATTCAGTCCCTCTAACCTGCAGTACGTCACCACTCTGCACCGCCCACACCGCCTCGGGGTCGACCTCACACAGAGCCTTCAGCACAGGTACAAGTACTGCTAACTCACTGCTAACATACTGCTAACACACTGCTAGCATACTGCTAACTCACTGCTAACATACTGCTAACACACTGCTAACATACTGCTAACACACTGCTAGCATACTGCTAACTCACTGCTAACATACTGTAAACACACTGCTAACATACTGCTAACACACTGCTAGCATACTGTAAACACACTGCTAACACACTGCTAACACACTGCTAACATACTGCTAACATACTGTTAACACACTGCTAACATACTGTAATCACACTGCTAACATACTGCTAACTCACTGCTAACACACTGCTAACTCACTGCTAACACACTGCTAACATACTGTAAACACACTGCTAACATACTGCTAACACACTGCTAGCATACTGTAAACACACTGCTAACATACTGCTAACACACTGCTAAACACACTGCTAACACACTGCTAACCTACTGCTAACCTACTGCTAACATACTGTTAACACACTGCTAAACACACTGCTAACACACTGCTAACACACTGCTAACACACTGCTAACATACTGCTAACACACTGCTAACACACTGCTAACACACTGCTAACACACTGCTAACATACTGCTAAATAAGGACATTTAAGGTCTGTGTTAAACAGAAGCTGAAGAGCGTGTTTAACGTGTTGTTCTACGACATAAAATATGCCAGTAAATACCCTTCTGGTGGATATCAAAACAGAGGTTGCTAATAACATTAGCTAGCTTTTAGCTTAGCGGTGGTGACGTGAAGTCATGTGACCGTCCTGTAGTTCCTTTATAGCCCAGCATTAGCCGCCTTTAGCTTAGCGGTGGTGACGTGAAGTCATGTGACCATGCTGTAGTTCCTTTATAGCCCAACATTAGCCGCCTTTAGCTTAGCGGTGGTGATGTGAAGTCATGTGACCATGCTGTAGTTCCTTTATAGCCCAACATTAGCCGCCTTTAGCTTAGCGGTGGTGACGTGAAGTCATGTAACCGTGCTGTAGTTCCTTTATAGCCCAGCATTAGCCGCCTTTAGCTTAGCGGTGGAGACGTGAAGTCATGTGACCGTGCTGTAGTTCCTCTATAGCCCAACATTAGCCACCTTTAGCTTAGCGGTGGTGACGTGAAGTCATGTGACCGTGCTGTAGTTCCTTTATAGCCCAATATTAGCCACCTTTAGCTTAGCGGTGGTGACGTGAAGTCATGTGACCGTCCTGTAGTTCCTTTATAGCCCAGCATTAGCCGCCTTTAGCTTAGCGGTGGTGACGTGAAGTCATGTGACCATGCTGTAGTTCCTCTATAGCCCAACATTAGCCACCTTTAGCTTAGCGGTGGTGATGTGAAGTCATGTGACCATGCTGTAGTTCCTTTATAGCCCAACATTAGCCGCCTTTAGCTTAGCGGTGGTGACGTGAAGTCATGTAACCGTGCTGTAGTTCCTTTATAGCCCAGCATTAGCCGCCTTTAGCTTAGCGGTGGAGACGTGAAGTCATGTGACCGTGCTGTAGTTCCTCTATAGCCCAACATTAGCCACCTTTAGCTTAGCGGTGGTGACGTGAAGTCATGTGACCGTGCTGTAGTTCCTTTATAGCCCAATATTAGCCACCTTTAGCTTAGCGGTGGTGACGTGAAGTCATGTGACCGTCCTGTAGTTCCTTTATAGCCCAGCATTAGCCGCCTTTAGCTTAGCGGTGGTGACGTGAAGTCATGTGACCATGCTGTAGTTCCTCTATAGCCCAACATTAGCCACCTTTAGCTTAGCGGTGGTGATGTGAAGTCATGTGACCATGCTGTAGTTCCTTTATAGCCCAACATTAGCCGCCTTTAGCTTAGCGGTGGTGACGTGAAGTCATGTAACCGTGCTGTAGTTCCTTTATAGCCCAGCATTAGCCGCCTTTAGCTTAGCGGTGGAGACGTGAAGTCATGTGACCGTGCTGTAGTTCCTCTATAGCCCAACATTAGCGACCTTTAGCTTAGCGGTGGTGACGTGAAGTCATGTGATTGATTGATTGATTGAAAAGTTTATTAACAGCTTGTATATTGGGTACAGTACAGTACAGCTCAAAACATACAATTGTTAAGGGGATGCAGACCAGAGAAAGACTTTCGTCTTGTTTACATCAGGGTCCCCCATTTCCAATTCATCATGTCATTTAAGACATATAAGACATATTTGACATACAGATGGCTTATTTACAATTTACATACAGGTGGTTTTTTACATACAGATTGCTTATTTACAATTTTCATTTTAGATTTCGTTCTAATACATCCTAACCGGACATTTAAGACATACCAAGTCTACAGATATACAGACCGTGCTGTAGTTCCTTTATAGCCCAATATTAGCCACCTTTAGCTTAGCGGTGGTGACGTGAAGTCATGTGACCGTGATGTAGTTCCTTTATAGTCCAACATTAGCCGCCTTTAGCTTAGCGGTGGTGACGTGAAGTCATGTGACCGTGCTGTAGTTCCTTTATAGCCCAACATTAGCCACCTTTAGCTTAGCGGTGGTGGCGTGTTAATATGTGGAGAAACGTTTGTTTGACACAGAGATAATTTTCCGACATCAACCAAAATCACTTGGAGAAATCCCATTGGACCAGGGAGATGCTGTATACTCTGAGTACTTACTGTGTTTGTGTTTTCAGTCCAGGGGCTCAGTACCCCGACACGTTGGCCCTGACCTTTGACCCGGCCTCCAGACACCTGACCTGCGTGTACAACGACCACAGTGTGTATGTGTGGGACGTTAAAGACGTGAGGAACGTGGGGAAGCTGTACTCCGCTCTGTACCACAGCAGCTGTGTGTGGAGCATAGAAGTAAGTCAACATTCATTTATACACCGCCACCTTAGTTTTATTTTAATTTCAAAGAGTGTTTATATTTTATTATAAAGGCCTATTTGGAAAGGAAATCAGGCTACAGCACTGCTAACACACTGCTAACATACTGGGAGGTGTGTGGTGCAGTGGGTTGCACGTTGGTGTTCGGATCAGGGGGTCACAGGTTCAAACCCCACTGCAGTCAGCATGTCGTTGTGTCCCTGAGACGCTTCACCCCAAATTGCTCCTGTGGGGATTGCCCACAGTACTGAGTATGTCAGTCGCTTTGGATAAAAGCGTCTAACAAGTAACAATGTAATAATGTAATACTGCTAACATACTGCTAACTCACTGCTAACACACTGCTAACTCACGGCTAACACACTGCTAACTCACTGCTAACACACGGCTAACTCACGGCTAACACACTGCTAACTCATTGCTAACTCACTGCTAACACACTGCTAACTCACTGCTAACACACTGCTAACTCACTGCTAACTCACTGCTAACACACTGCTAACTCACTGCTAACTCACTGCTAACACACTGCTAACTCACTGCTAACTCAATGCTAACTCACTGCTAACTCACTTTCAACACACTGCTAACTCACGGCTAACACAGGGTCAGAAGTACAGTAATACTCGTGGTGTATTTACTGTTTGTGGTGCTTCCCCAGGTGTACCCGGAGCTGTTGGATGCGTCTCAGGCCTGCCTGCCTCCCTCCTCCTTCCTCACCTGTTCGTCTGATAACACCGTCAGACTGTGGAACACCGACCCCCCCATCACACACCGAAACCTCTACAGCAACGTGAGGCAGCACGTACACAAGTGCATGAGTTTATAAGAGAGTATAAGTGTAGCGTAGCGTCCACACGGTTCCGTTGCGTGCTTCAACAGAGACGTGGTGAAAGTTGAAAAAAATGCAACTTTTCAAGCGTCGACGGAAGCGCCAGCCTATCAAATCATATTCCAGAACAAGCGCTAGCCAATCAAACACGCTCTTTGTGTGTCCGGGCGGGAGATTCATGTGATTGGTTGTAGGTCGCGCGCCAGACACGCCCACCGGCAAGCTTCAATGCGACGGAACCGTGTGTACGCTACGTAGGAGTCTAAGACTGTATAAGTGTAGGAGTCTAAGAGTGTAGGAGTTTACAGGTGTAGACACCTACAGCAGGGTTAGTAGTAAACACCTGTAGATTTATTAAGTGTATAAGGATACAAGTCTACAAATGTCGAGTTTACAAGTTAAGGAGTTTAAAAGTGAAAGACTCTACAAGTGTATATTTGTACAAATCTACAGGTGTACTAGTAAACAAGTGTAGGACTCTTAAAGTGAAGTGTATGAGTCTACAAATGTCTAGTTTACAAGTTAACCTGTTAAGCCCGAGAGACCCCGGTTCCGGGGCCCTCCCGCAACAGGAAACATTGTCTGAGGGCATGTTCATTTACTAAACTATGAATGTTTTATATCCATGTAACGGAAAGAAACTCATCTAACTGACATAATATATTGTATAATTTTTTTCCAAATAAAACCCACAATGCTAATGCTGAGCCTCTGAATTAGCAACGAGCGGAAAATGCTAACAGATTTACTGCACCGAAACTCACTCACAAAACCTTATTATTTATCTTTGGTGCACATCCAACCCATCGATCTGATCGTGAGGGGACACAGAATCGATGGGGACAGACATTATCACTCAATGATACGAACTCGCGACTATAAACAAGAACAGACATCAAAACTGATCAGCTCCTCCAAACCCACAACCTGCTCCCTTGACCCTCTACCCAGCCCTCTACTGAAGTCCTGTCTCCCCGTCCTCTGCCCCTACCTTGTCAACCTTTTCAACTCCTCCCTGTCCCAAGGTACCGTTCCCTCTGCCTTCAAAACTGCTGCTGTCACTCCCATCCTCAAGAAACCCGGTCTGGATCCCTCCTCCCTCAGTAACTACCGTCCCATCTCCAACCTCCCCTTTCTCTCAAAAACAATAGAACGCATTATCTCCAAACAACTCCACCGCCATCTCCAAACCAACCAGCTTTTTGAACCCCTTCAGTCTGGTTTTCGTCCCCACCACAGCACAGAAACGGCCCTCATCAAAGTCCTCAATGACCTCCTCACCTCTGCTGACACCGGTTCCCTCAACATCCTCATCCTCCTCGACCTGAGTGCAGCCTTCGATACCGTGAGCCACACCATCCTGTTCACCCGACTCCAGGACATCGGTATCGATGGTACTGCACTCAGGTGGCTCCAGTCCTACCTCTCCGACAGATCCCACTTCATCTCCCTCAACAACCACTCCTCTTCCACAGCTTCAGTCACCCAAGGTGTTCCCCAAGGTTCAGTACTCGGCCCCCTCCTCTTCATCATCTACATCCTCCCCCTTGGTCAGATTCTCCGCAAATACAACCTGGACTTTCACTGCTATGCCGACGACACCCAGATTTACCTCAGCACCAAATCCCCCAACAACCCCCCCCTCACCCACATCGAATCCTGTCTGACTGCACTAAAATCCTGGATGCAACACAACTTCCTCAAACTCAACAGCAATAAAACTGAACTCCTCCTCATCGGATCAAAATCCACCCTCAGCAAAACCCCCAACCTGACAATCACCATTGATGGCACCCCTGTTTCCCCCTCCACCCAGGCACGCAACCTTGGCGTGATATTTGACCCCACCCTCTCCCTCGAGCCCCACATCCGTCATGTTGTCAAAATCTCATTTTTCCACCTCCGCAATATTGCCAAACTCCGTCCCTCTCTCACCCGCCCTGCAGCTGAGCGACTCATTCACGCCTTCATCTCCTCCCGCCTTGACTATTGCAACTCCCTCCTCTACGGCATCAGCTCCACCTCCCTCAGTAGACTCCAGCGTGTCCAGAACGCAGCCGCCAGACTCCTCACCCACACCAAATCATGGCATCATATCACCCCTGTCCTCAAAGAACTCCACTGGCTCCCCGTTACACACCGCATCAATTACAAACTCCTGGTCCTCACTTATAAAGCCCTCCACCATCTGGCCCCCCCCCTACCTCACTGACCTCCTCACCCTTTACCAACCACCCCGGTCCCTCAGATCCACCTCAGCCGGTTTGCTTTCAATCCCCAAGGCCAAACTCCGGAGCTTCGGGGACAGAGCCTTCTCTGTGGCAGCCCCGAAGCTCTGGAACTCACTCCCCCAAGACCTCCGTGAGTCTGAGTCCCTCACCCTGTTCCAGTCCCGCCTCAAAACCCACCTTTTCAACTCTTTATCTATAAAGCCCCCCCCCTCTTAATCAACTTCCTCCTGACTGCTTTTCTGTTGTGTTTTTTTGTTTTGTTTTGTTTGTTTTTTTGTTTTGTTTTGTTTGTATACCCCCCCTCCCAAATGTAAAGCGTCTTTGGGTCCAGAAAAGCGCTATATAAAATTAATATATTATTATTATTATTATTATTAAAACATGTGGCGCTAGGTAGCTAAAAACGCTAACATGGCTCACCTGTGTCGTAGTCTGGTCTTCAATGGCATTAAAACGATAAAAACGCTGCTGAAGTTAATCCATAGGTTAATCCAATGTGTCTGTGTCCCTTTGAAATAATTTCTGATCATCCATAAGCAATAAACCTGCTTTTCCGTTTCTAGATGTCAGAGCGAGAGATAGGTTCACTCTGATGCAAAACTGTGTGCGCAAATGACCCCAGAAGAGGTTTCTTTAGCTAAATCTCTCTAAAAAGGTCAAATGTCACTTGTTTTGCATCAATCTTGATACAGGGCACTTATTATATGTTGTACTTTGGATTCCTAAAGCTTTTAGTCTACCTTACCATCATCCAAGGTTAGTTTTCACTATAAGTAAAACATCATTTTTGGACGGACACTATAATTTACAGTTTTTTACCATGTTCAATCTGAATTTACTTTAAAATAAAAAACATCTATATTGATTCTGACTTTTCTACATCCAACTCACAGGTTTATCAATACTTTGAGAACAAAGATTAATTTCCCCCTTTTAGAAGATATGGTCATTTGTTCTGGGAATGTCATTTTCGAGCCTGAGACCTGAAAAACAGGCTCAGGGCTCAACTGGTTAAGGAGTTTAAAATTGAAGAAGGCTACAAGTGTAGGAGTCTACAAGTGTATGAGTTTAAAAGTAGACTGCTCTACAGGTGTACAGGTGAAGGACTCTACGGTGCCTTGTTTGCTACCGTCGACAGACTAACTAACCCCCCAGTGTCAGTAGCCTCTGAATTTCTATCCACCAGGGCGTGCAATGATTTTGCCTCCTTTTTCACTGACAAAATTCAGAAAATCAGACAAGCAGTCAGTGCCTCTGCATCAGGAACAGCAAATGTGTTGTCTCTGTGTCCACCTAACATCAATTCAGACATCATGACACAATTCCATCAGATTAATGATAAAAACCTAGAGGACATTATTCAACTTCTGAAATCCTCCTCCTGCTGCCTTGATATTATTCCAAGAGGATTTTTCAAAGATGTTTTGCCTTGCATGGCCTCAGATCTACTTCATATAGTAAACAAATCTCTTCACTCAGGTATTTTTCCACAGGCCCTGAAAACTGCAGTCATTAAACCGCTCTTAAAAAAGAATAATCTAGATGCTTCAGTAATGAACAATTACAGGCCCATATCAAACCTCCCATTTCTAGGTAAAATCATTGAAAAAGTTGTTTTTCAACAGTTGAGTAATTTCTTGCATTTAAATAACTGTTTTGATGTGTTCCAGTCAGGCTTTCGTCCAAACCACAGCACTGAGACTGCTCTTGTAAAGGTCTTTAATGACATCCACTTAAACACAGACAGTGGCAGAACTTCAGTGTTAGTATTATTAGATCTCAGTGCTGCGTTTGACACTGTTGACCACAGCATATTACTAGACCGACTGGAGAACTGGGTGGGACTTTCGGAAACAGTTCTGAATTGGTTTGAATCCTACTTAAAGGACAGAAACAACTTTGTTTCTATAGGTAAATACACATCTGAGTTGACAAATATGACATGTGGGGTTCCTCAAGGCTCCATCTTGGGGCCTCTTCTCTTTAACATCTACATGCTACCACTGGCTCAGATAATGAAGAACAACAAAATAAGTTACCATAGCTATGCAGATGACACACAAATTTACGTAACAATTTCACCAGGAGACTATGCTCTAATTCAAACACTGAGTAAGTGCATTGAACAAATCAATGACTGGATGTGTCAGAACTTTCTCCAATTAAACAAAGATAAAACTGAGGTAATGGTTTTTGGAGCCAAGGCAGAACGTATAAAAGTTAGCGCTGAGCTTCAGTGTGCAATGTTCAAAACAACAGATAAAGCCAGAAATCTAGGTGTAGTCATGGACTCTGACCTGAGTTTCAACAGTCACATTAAAACTGTTACTAAATCAGCCTACTATCACCTAAAGAATATATCTAGGATTAAAAGACTAATGTCACAGCAGGATTTGGAAAAACTTGTCCATGCTTTTATCTTCAGTAGACTCGACTACTGCAATGGTGTCTTCACAGGTCTCACTAAAACATCTATTAGGAAGCTGCAGCTGATTCAGAACGCCGCTGCTCGAGTCCTCACTAACACTAAGAAAGTGGATCACTCCTGTTCTGAAGTCTTTACACTGGCTTCCTGTGTGTCAAAGAATAGATTTCAAAATACTGCTGCTGGTTTATAAAGCACTGAATGGTTTAGGCCCAAAATACATTTCTGACCTCCTGCTAAATGATGAACCATCCAGATCTCTCAGGTCTTCAGGGACTGGTCAGCTTTCTGTCCCCAGAGTCAGAACTAAACATGGAGAAGCAGCGTTCAGTTATTATGCTCCAAATATCTGGAACAAACTCCCAGAAACCTGCAGGTCCGCTGCAACTCTGACTACTTTCAAATCCAGGCTGAAGACTTTTCTTTTTGTCGCTGCTTTTAATTGAACTATTCATATCTTAGACTGCACTGTAACTTTTATCCATGTACTTTTTCTTTTAATGTTTAATTGCACTGTAACTTTTATCCATGTATTTTTTCTTTTAATGTTTATTTTATTAGCTTTTCTTTTTAATGCCATTTTCTTAATCTCTTTCATTTTTTGTAAAGCACTTTGAATTGCCTTGTGTTGGAAAGTGCTATATAAATAAACTTGCCTTGCCTTGCCTTGCCTTACGGTGTTTTCTGGCTTCCTGTTGACCTCCTGTCGACCTCCTGTGTGTTTCAGGACTTGCTGCGGATCGTTTACGTCGGGGAGAACATGCAGCACCTGCAGGCCGAGGGGGGGGAAGCAGGGGCTGATGGGAAGGCAGGAATCAGAGTCCTGGGAGTCAGTCCTGATGGGAAACACCTGGCAGCTGGAGACCGCTGCGGAAACCTGCGGTGAGAGCACAAACAAGCAAACAAACAAACAAACAAAGGGAAGATGATGGGTGGTAACTGATCCCAATTTGGGAAATTATTTTGTCGCAGAAGTGTGTTTATAATACAATACTTAAAATACTTTATAAAGTGGAATTAACAATAAAAAATAAAAAAACATATCAAATAGAAACAAAACAATATTCTGGATAATTAAAATAAAAAGTCAAAATACAACATGATCCAAAATACTACAGGTCTTTTACAAGAAAGGAGAAACTCAAACTATGTAGCAGTGAGTTAGCTTTGAAAAGTGTTATTGCAGAGGTACCTCTCTTTGATGAGGAAGATGATGATGAGGAAGATGACGTGTTTCTGTGCTCAGGATCTTTGGTCTGGAGTTCCTGGACGAGCTGGTGAAGATCGAGGCTCATGACTCGGAGGTTTTGTGTCTGGAGTTTTCCCCGATCTCCACAGGTAAGAGCTCGGGTCAAAGGTCATCCCTTTGACCTCACTGTACGGCAGCTCAGGTAAGAGCTCAGGTCAAAGGTCATCCCTTTGACCTCACTGTACGGCAGCTCACGAAAGAGCTCGGATCAAAGGTCAACCTTCTGACCTCACTGTACGGCAGCTCAGGTAAGAGCTCGGGTCAAAGGTCATCCCTTTGACCTCACTGTACGGCAGCTCAGGTAAGAGCTCGGGTCAAAGGTCAACCCTCTGACCTCACTGTACGGCAGCTCAGGTAAGAGCTCGGGTCAAAGGTCATCCCTTTGACCTCACTGTACGGCAGCTCAGGTAAGAGCTCGGGTCAAAGGTTATCCCTTTGACCTCACTGTACGGCAGCTCAGGTAAGAGCTCGGGTCAAAGGTCATCCCTTTGACCTCACTGTACGGCAGCTCAGGTAAGAGCTCGGGTCAAAGGTCAACCCTCTGACCTCACTGTACGGCAGCTCAGGTAAGAGCTCGGTCAAAGGTCATCCCTTTGACCTCACTGTACGGCAGCTCAGGTAAGAGCTCGGGTCAAAGGTCAACCCTCTGACCTCACTGTACGGCAGCTCAGGTAAGAGCTCGGGTCAAAGGTCATCCCTTTGACCTCACTGTACGGCAGCTCAGGAAAGAGCTCGGGTCAAAGGTCATCCCTTTGACCTCACTGTACGGCAGCTCAGGTAAGAGCTCGGGTCAAAGGTCAACCCTCTGACCTCACTGTACGGCAGCTCAGGTAAGAGCTCGGGTCAAAGGTCATCCCTTTGACCTCACTGTACAGCAGCTCAGGTAAGAGCTCGGGTCAAAGGTTATCCCTTTGACCTCACTGTACGGCAGCTCAGGTAAGAGCTCGGGTCAAAGGTCATCCCTTTGACCTCACTGTACGGCAGCTCAGGTAAGAGCTCGGGTCAAAGGTCAACCCTCTGACCTCACTGTACGGCAGCTCAGGTAAGAGCTCGGTCAAAGGTCATCCCTTTGACCTCACTGTACGGCAGCTCAGGTAAGAGCTCGGGTCAAAGGTTATCCCTTTGACCTCACTGTACGGCAGCTCAGGTAAGAGCTCGGGTCAAAGGTCATCCCTTTGACCTCACTGTACGGCAGCTCAGGTAAGAGCTCGGGTCAAAGGTTATCCCTTTGACCTCACTGTACGGCAGCTCAGGTAAGAGCTCAGGTCAAAGGTCATCCCTTTGACCTCACTGTACGGCAGCTCAGGTACAAACAGCTCACATTATGTTTGCACTGTTTATATTGACAAGATCAGATGGACCTTTATTAATCCCCGTGGGGAAATTCAGTAGTTTAAACAACATCAGGGTGAGAATGAAAAACAGGACAGATTCACACAGATGAAAGTTAACGAGTTGATAACCAGCGTCGTACAGACCCTGGATATGTTTGAGTTACCCGGCTCAACTAACCCCATACAAACGCGCTCTCGCTAAGCGGTCCTACGACGCTGGTTATCAACTCGTTAACTCAAGCCAGGGTTTCTCTGTCCGGCTGAGTGCGCGTTCACATGAAAGGGGCGGGGCTAGCAACATTTGACCAATCACAACTTCATGTGTTGCTTAAAATAATCCTTCTGCATCCAGTCTGTGACGCTGTGAGTGCTGCACGGCCAGATACGGCTCAGCTGACTCAGATCAGGAGATGATACATTATGAAGTGATATGCCGCGGACTGTACTTAATGTTACTCTGATCCGGTTACTGATGTTGTGGCAGATATTTAAGTGAGCTTTCTTAACGCTAATGGTATAATAGTCAGATTGCTCTGAAGATGGAGGTGATATTCTATTCATGTTCACGTTCACACAGTCGGTGATTGTTGCCGGCCGTCTTTCCTGCGACGGCAGCTTTTCTGTATTTCCTTTCTCCTGTAATATGACTTGTTCGCTTTAAACTCCGCACACTGAGCTCTGATTGGTCAGCAGGCGGTGCTTTCACTGAGTTGAGCTCTTAGCCTGCAACCTAACCTGCTCCGGGGCAGGCTAGCCGCTCAGCATCAGTTACCATGGAGATCTAGCCGCTAAAAAGAGAACCAGCTTCGTAGGACCGGAAAGCCAGAGTTACCCTGAAGTTAGCCGCTAAGAGAACATCCGGCTTCGTAGGACAGGCCTCAGGTGTGAAGCTGTTGTTGTTGTTGCTGTTGTTGCAGGTGTGAAGCTGTTGGCGTCGGCCAGCAGAGACAGACTGATCCACGTCTTCAACCTGGAGAAGAACTACAGCCTGGAGCAGACGCTGAGCGACCACTCGGCCTCCATCACTGCCGTCAAGTTCACAGGTAACCCCCCTCCCATCATCACACGCTTCTAAGCCAGTGTTTGAGCGACCCCTAGTGGTCCGTGAGTATATTGGTACAATTTCCCATTTGAAATAAATGAATAATAAATTCAAAGTGTTTCTCAAATAGTTTAAACTTGACTAGTATAGGAGCAACAGAGACACGCAGTCAATGAGTGCGTAAACAATGCTAAATAACTGGAACCGTGTAAATAATTAACTTGTGTTTTAATGTTGAATTCATATATTATGCCTGCAACCATAGTTAATCCACAGCGTTGTGTCGTACTCCATGCATTTTGCATTTCTCTCAGTAAAACGATCGGAGAGTCTGTTGGACATAAACTCCGTGATAAATATAGTCTACATTTCATAAGAGGTGTAAAATCTGAGAGCATTTTCAATCTCAAATGAAGGAAATGTAGAATCTGTAGTTGTATTCAATGTTTATTTTTTATATAGCCCAATATCACAAATGTTACATTTGTCTCAGTGGACTTTACAGTTTGGTATTGTTTGAGTATTGTTGATTTAATGCGTGAACGAGGCGATGTAGAGAAGGTTAAGCTGTCATTATTAGGCTGTAATGTGTTATAAACTGTTGGAGTGTTAAGCAGGCCTTTAGTTTTTGGATATTTGGCAACATGGTTGGTTATTCTGTCTTGATACTTTTCTTTTGACCTGCGCTCCAGGTGAGAGTCCGGAGGTCCGAATGGTGAGCTGTGGGGCCGACAAAAGCATCTACTTCCAGACCGCCGAGCAGGTCTGCACACACTGAAGGGTTCAGAAATGCTTCACTCGGGGACACATCTTTACGAAATATATATATTTATTTATTGATTTAGTTATAAGTATATAGATAGATACTTTATTGGGAAATGAAATGTCACAGAAGCAGACGTGTGCATGTGTTTTTTTGCACATTATATAATTGTCATAGCCTTTGCGACCATACATTAGAATAACAAAACCTTCTCGTTCAGTCTTAACATTAAAAAACTAAATTCTAGAGAAAGTATTTGTTACTTCTGCAGATATTGCTTTTTTAAAATATATAATATGGGGACTGAAGGTCTGGCATTGGATTTACGCTGATCCACAGCAGGCAGAGTTATGGACAAATATTGGAAGTGTTTTTCTGAAGTGTGTTTATGATTGTAATAACGTGTAAGTCTGCATCGAGACACTTCCCAATGTTTCTGTTGCTCATAATATGCTTCACAAATCCTCCGTGCGTGATGTTTTCTCTGCAGACGGCCGAGGGTCCGTCGTTCTCTCGGAGTCACCACGTGGTGGAGAAAACCACGCTGTACGACATGGACCTGGATTCAACCCGGACTCACGTCGCCATCGCCTGCCAGGACCGAAACATCAGGTGAGAAACAAGAAACACCAGAACTAGCAGCTGGTCCCAGGTCAGTCTGAACCAGCCCTCACTATAAGAGGAGAGTCTTCAGTCTATAGCAGCAGAACTAGCAGCTGGTCCCAGGTCAGTCTGAACCAGCCCTCACTATAAGAGAAGAGTCTTCAGTCTATAGCAGCAGAACTAGCAGCTGGTCCCAGGTCAGCCTTAACCCTCACTATAAGAGGAGAGTCTTCAGTCTATAGCAGCAGAACAAGCAGCTGGTCCCAGGTCAGCCTGAACCAGCCCTCACTATAAGAGGAGAGTCTTCAGTCTATAGCAGCAGAACTAGCAGCTGGTCCCAGGTCAGTCTGAACCAGCCCTCACTATAAGAGGAGAGTCTTCAGTCTATAGCAGCAGAACTAGCAGCTGGTCCCAGGTCAGTCTGAACCAGCCCTCACTATAAGAGGAGAGTCTTCAGTCTATAGCAGCAGAACTAGCAGCTGGTCCCAGGTCAGTCTGAACCAGCCCTCACTATAAGAGGAGAGTCTTCAGTCTATAGCAGCAGAACTAGCAGCTGGTCCCAGGTCAGTCTGAACACTCACTATAAGAGGAGAGTCTTCAGTCTTTAGCAGCAGAACTAGCAGCTGGTCCCAGGTCAGCCTGAACCAGCCCTCACTATAAGAGGAGAGTCTTCAGTCTATAGCAGCAGAACTAGCAGCTGGTCACAGGTCAGCCTGAACCAGCCCTCACTATAAGAGGAGAGTCTTCAGTCTATATTAGCAGCACTAGCAGCTGGTCCCAGGTCAGCCTGAACCAGCCCTCACTATAAGAAGAGAGTCTTCAGTCTATAGCAGCAGAACTAGCAGCTGGTCCCAGGTCAGTCTGAACCAGCCCTCACTATAAGAGGAGAGTCTTCAGTCTATAGCAGCAGAACTAGCAGTTGGTCCCAGGTCAGCCTGAACCAGCCCTCACTGTAAGAGGAGAGTCTTCAGTCTATAGCAGCAGAACTAGCAGCTGGTCCCAGGTCAGCCTGAACCAGCCCTCACTATAAGAGGAGAGTCTTCAGTCTATAGCAGCAGAACTAGCAGCTGGTCCCAGGTCAGTCTGAACCAGCCCTCACTATAAGAGGAGAGTCTTCAGTCTATAGCAGCAGAACTAGCAGCTGGTCCCAGGTCAGTCTGAACCAGCCCTCACTATAAGAGGAGAGTCTTCAGTCTATAGCAGCAGAACTAGCAGCTGGTCCCAGGTCAGTCTGAACCAGCCCTCACTATAAGAGGAGAGTCTTCAGTCTATAGCAGCAGAACTAGCAGCTGGTCCCAGGTCAGCCTGAACCAGCCCTCACTATAAGAGGAGAGTCTTCAGTCTATAGCAGCAGAACTAGCAGCTGGTCCCAGGTCAGTCTGAACCAGCCCTCACTATAAGAGGAGAGTCTTCAGTCTATAGCAGCAGAACTAGCAGCTGGTCCCAGGTCAGTCTGAACCAGCCCTCACTGTAAGAGGAGAGTCTTCAGTCTATAGCAGCAGAACAAGCAGCTGGTCCCAGGTCAGCCTGAACCAGCCCTCACTGTAAGAGGAGAGTCTTCAGTCTATAGCAACAGAACTAGGAGCTGGTCCCAGGTCAGTCTGAACCAGCCCTCACTATAAGAGAAGAGTCTTCAGTCTATAGCAGCAGAACTAGCAGCTGGTCACAGGTCAGTCTGAACCAGCCCTCACTATAAGAGAAGAGTCTTCAGTCTATAGCAGCAGAACTAGCAGCTGGTCACAGGTCAGCCTGAACCAGCCCTCACTGTAAGAGGAGAGTCTTCAGTCTATAGCAACAGAACTAGGAGCTGGTCCCAGGTCAGTCTGAACCAGCCCTCACTATAAGAGGAGAGTCTTCAGTCTATAGCAGCAGAACTAGCAGCTGGTCCCAGGTCAGTCTGAACCCTCACTATAAGAGAAGAGTCTTCAGTCTATAGCAGCAGAACTAGCAGCTGGTCCCAGGTCAGTCTGAACCAGCCCTCACTATAAGAGGAGAGTCTTCAGTCTATAGCAGCAGAACTAGCAGCTGGTCCCAGGTCAGTCTGAACCAGCCCTCACTATAAGAGGAGAGTCTTCAGTCTATAGCAGCAGAACTAGCAGCTGGTCCCAGGTCAGTCTGAACCCTCACTATAAGAGGAGAGTCTTCAGTCTATAGCAGCAGAACTAGCAGCTGGTCCCAGGTCAGTCTGAACCAGCCCTCACTACAAGAGGAGAGTCTTCAGTCTATAGCAGCAGAACTAGCAGCTGGTCCCAGGTCAGTCTGAACCAGCCCTCACTATAAGTTGAGTCACAACATTTATTTTTTTAGGGTGTATAACGTGGAGACGGGGAAGCTAAAGAAGTGTTTGAAAGGCTCGTCCAGCGATGAAGGAGCTCTGCTGAAGGTTAGCTCATTATTTTGTTATCTGATCTTCACTACATCCATCAATGTGTCACAGGTTCAGCAGCTGAAACCAGTACTTTTATAACATTATATACCTTTATGACAGCTGAAATTGGGTTTAAACTGCAAGAAAAGCAGTATTAAATCATTACATTTCAAGTTGCTCCTAGAGATTGCCCACAGTATTGAATGCATGTAAGTCTCTTTGGATAAAAGCATCTAACAACTGTTAATATGCTGTTAACATGATCCTGATCAAATTCACTACGTATTGTCATATCCTGAAAAATAGTTTGAATGTAAATCATACAAAACATTGGAACAGATGACCTTAATATGGTGTCATGATATCCACCTGCTTTTAAGAGGCCTAAGCTACTAGTAAAGACCTTTTGTAATATACAAATGAAAATGAAAAAAGTATTCCATCGTGTTTCTGATGGAGTAACAGAAAAATGAGGTTATTCAATTGACCATACTTCTTTCTGTGCAGCAGTCTGCTATACAGAAATAACACACTGCAGAATATCCACACGGACCAATCAGAATCATGTGTTCTACTGAGCCCTGTAATGACCGTACTGATTCTGCCCTGTGATTGGCTGATACATGGTGTTGATCTGCAGGTTCAGATGGATCCGTCCGGGTCCTTCTTCGCCACCAGCTGCTCCGATAAAACATCTCCATCTTCGACTACGAGTCCGGAGAGTGTGTCGCCACCTTGTTCGGACACTCAGGTGAGAAAATCAGTCGACGAGTCTCTCAGTGGATCTGTGTTTGAGGTCTGGAGTGTCTCTCTTCTTCTGATGTTCGATTTCTATTTCTTTAGAGATCGTCACCTGTATGAGGTTCAGTCAGGACTGCAAACACCTCATCACTGTGTCCGGAGACAGGTAAGACAGGTAGACTTCACTTTAATCTTGAGACAGGTGAGACAGGTAGACTTCACTTTAATCTTGAGACAGGTAGACTTCACTTTAATCTTGAGACAGGTGAGACATGTAGACTTCACTTTAATCTTGAGAAAGGTGGACTTCACTTGAATCTTGAGACAGGTAAGACAGGTAGACTTCACTTTAATCTTGAGACAGCTGAGACATGTAGACTTCACTTTAATCTTGAGACAGGTGAGACAGGTAGACTTCACTTTAATCTTGAGACATGTAGACTTCACTTTAATCTTGAGACAGGTAGACTTCACTTTAATCTTGAGACAGGTAGACTTCACTTTAATCTTGAGACAGGGAGACTTCACTTTAATCTTGAGACAGGTGAGACATGTAGACTTCACTTTAATCTTGAGACAGGTGAGACAGGTAGACTTCACTTTAATCTTGAGACAGGTAGACTTCACTTTAATCTGGAGACAGGTAGACTTCACTTTAATCTTGAGACAGGGAGACTTCACTTTAATCTTGAGACAGGTGAGACATGTAGACTTCACTTTAATCTTGAGACAGGTGAGACAGGTAGACTTCACTTTAATCTTGAGACATGTAGACTTCACTTTAATCTTGAGACAGGTAGACTTCACTTTAATCTTGAGACATGTAGACTTCACTTTAATCTTGAGACAGGTAGACTTCACTTTAATCTTGAGACAGGTAGACTTCACTTTAATCTTGAGACATGTAGACTTCACTTTAATCTTGAGACAGGTGAGACATGTAGACTTCACTTTAATCTTGAGACAGGTGAGACAGGTAGACTTCACTTTAATCTTGAGACAGGTAGACTTCACTTTAATCTTGAGACAGGTAGACTTCACTTTAATCTTGAGCCATGTAGACGTCACTTTAATCTTGAGACAGGTGAGACATGTAGACTTCACTTTAATCTTGAGACAGGTAGACTTCACTTTAATCTTGAGACAGGTGAGACAGGTAGACTTCACTTTAATCTTGAGACAGGTGAGACATGTAGACTTCACTTTAATCTTGAGACGGGTGAGACAGGTAGACTTCACTTTAATCTTGAGACAGGTAGACTTCACTTTAATCTTGAGACAGGTAGACTTCACTTTAATCTTGAGACATGTAGACTTCACTTTAATCTTGAGACAGGTGAGACATGTAGACTTTACTTTAATCTTGAGACAGGTGAGACAGGTAGACTTCACTTTAATCTTGAGACAGGTGAGACGGGTAGACTTCACTTTAATCTTGAGACAGGTGAGACATGTATACTTTACTTTAATCTTGAGACAGGTGAGACAGGTAGACTTCACTTTAATCTTGAGACAGGTAGACTTCACTTTAATCTTGAGACAGGTGAGACATGTAGACTTCACTTTAATCTTGAGACAGGTAGACTTCACTTTAATCTTGAGACAGGTAGACTTCACTTTAATCTTGAGACATGTAGACTTCACTTTAATCTTGAGACAGGTAGACTTCACTTTAATTTTGAGACAGGTAGACTTTACTTTAATCTTGAGACAGGTAGACTTCACTTTAATCTTGAGAAAGGTAGACTTTACTTTAATCTTGAGACAGGTAGACTTCACTTTAATCTTGAGACAGGTAGACTTTACTTTAATCTTGAGACAGGTAGACTTCACTTTAATCTTGAGACATGTAGACTTTACTTTAATCTTGAGACAGGTAGACTTCACTTTAATCTTGAGACAGGTGAGACATGTAGACTTCACTTTAATCTTGAGACATGTAGACTTCACTTTAATCTTGAGACAGGTGAGACAAGTAGACTTCACTTTAATCTTGAGACAGGTGAGACATGTAGACTTCACTTTAATCTTGAGACATGTAGACTTCACTTTAATCTTGAGACAGGTGAGACAAGTAGACTTCACTTTAATCTTGAGACAGGTGAGACAAGTAGACTTCACTTTAATCTTGAGACAGGTGAGACAGGTAGACTTCACTTTAATCTTGAGACAGGTAGACTTCACTTTAATCTTGAGACAGGTGAGACAGGTAGACTTCACTTTAATCTTGAGACAGGTAGACTTTACTTATGTTTAATGTTGTGTATGTGTGTGTGTGTGTGTGTAGTTGTGTGTTTATCTGGAGGCTTGACTCTCAGATGACCAGCATCATGAAGAAGAGGCGAGGCCTAAAGATGGCTGCCGCTCCTGAAGCCTGCAGCCGCAAGCTACCTAGCATCAGGTGAGAGATGTAGTACCTCCTGTTGACCACTATGGAAATTAGCTTCATTGTCTGGCACACTTCCTGTTGACTAAAACGTTTTAAACTTGAAACTTGAATTGATTTATTTCCAATTATTTGTGGGCGGGGTTTAATATGTGTGGCGCTGGGGGTGGAGCTTGTAATAATAATAATAATAATTCACTACATTTTTTTAATAGAGCGCTTTTTCAAGTGCTCAATGGCTTGGTTTCGCGGCGGGTGTTATTCTAGGGGGTGGGGTTTAACACTGGGGGTGGGGCTTATACTATGAGGATGAGTTTAAACACTGGAAGGTGGGGGTTTGACTGGGGTGGAGCTTGTACTTTCGGCTGGGTTTAGTAGTGTGGTTTGACACTGGGGGTGGGGCTTATACTAGGAGGCGGAGTTTAAACACTGAGTTATCGGCCCAGTGTTTGCTCAAGATCCAGATTTAGCTATTTTAATAATAATAATAATAATAATAATTTCAATTTATATAGCGCCTTCCACGAAACCCAAGGACGCTTTACAATGGGAAGTAACAAAACAAAAAGTAATAATAATCATACAGATACATAGGCTGAAGAAAACAAAACAGGAACAGGTTGCTGAGTACTGCATATTAGTTGAGGCCAAAGGCCTGAGTGAACAGATGGTGTTTGAGGTGTTTTTTGAAGGTGTCCAGAGTGTCTGCATTCCTGATTGCAGAGGGGAGAGAATTCCAGAGGGTGGGGGCTGCGACACTGAAGGCTCTGTTGCCAAATGTTTTCAGCTTGGAGCGCTGGATGGAGAGCAGCCCTTTGTCAGAGGACCGCAGGTGACGAGAGGGGGTGTAGGGCTGAAGGAGGTCAGAGATGTATGGAGGGGCTAGGGAGTGGAGAGATTTGTAAGTTAGCAGCAGGAGTTTGTACTGGATGCGTGACTTGACCGGGAGCCAGTGAAGGTGGATGAGGGTAGGGGTGATGTGTTGCCAGGGCTTAGTGTGGGTGAGGAGCCTGGCTGCAGAGTTCTGGACGTACTGGAGCCTGTCCAGGGCTTTGCTGTTGACCCCGAACAGAACTCCATTGCAGTAGTCCAGACGAGAGGAGATGAAGGTATGAATTAATGTTTCTGCAACGGGGTCGGGGAGAGAGGGCCGGAGTCTGGAGATGTTTCGTAGGTGAAAGAAAGCGGTTTTGATAGTAGACCTGATGTGGGAGTTGAAGGTGAGGCTAGAGTCCAGAGTGACGCCCAGGCTGCGAACCTCAGGGGAAGGGTGGATGGAGCCGCCATCGATGGTGATGGCAGATCTCCAACCTTCCGGAGCAGTGTTTTTGGGGCCACAACCATGAGCTCTGTTTTGTTATTGTTGAGTTTAAGTAGATTTTTTGACATCCAGGCTTGGATGTCGCGGAGGCAGTTGACAAGTGACACTGGGGGTAGCTGGGATGATGGATTGGTACTGATGTAGAGTTGGGTGTCGTCGGCATAGGAGTGGAAGTTGAGACCATGTCGGTGGATGATTTCACCGAGGGGGAGCATGTAGATGTTGAATAGAAGGGGGCCGAGCACCGAACCTTGCGGTACACCTTGGTTGACAGGGGCTGGGGGAGAGCTGGATTTTCCAATGGTCACAAACTGTTGCCTGTTGGAGAGGTAGGAATGGAACCAGGAGAGGGCTGTACCAGAGAGGCCAAGGTAGACGGATAGGCGGTTGAGTAGGATAGTGTGGGAGACTGTGTCGAATGCGGCGGAGATGTCCAGGAGGATAAGGATGCTGACGAGGCCTGAATCGGCGGCTATGAGGAGGTCATTGGTTATTTTAATAAGGGCCGTCTCTGTGCTGTGGTTGGATCTGAAGCCTGATTGGAAGGGTTCGTAGAGCTCATGGTCGGACATATGATGGTGGAGTTGGGCAGCAACTGCTCTTTCCATTATCTTGCTAAGAAAAGGAAGGTTGGAGATCGGCCGGAAGTTGCTGGGGTCCTCGGGGTCGAGACCAGGTTTTTTGACGATGGGGGTGACAGCTGCTATCTTGAGGACGGCGGGAACCTTGCCTGATTCCAGGCTTCACTCCCCATTAAGTGAGTTTTATAGGAATATAGAGTGTGATGTTGTTTCAGGAGGGAGACCTTCATCACGGGACCCTCCTCTCAGCTGCCTCACATGGAGGAAGAGGAGGAAGAGGAGGAAGTGGAAGACCTCGGGACTCCTGACTCCAGACTCGACTCTGCTCACGGTCAGTTTTAACCAGGACATTTTTGGAGCCGATATTTCTGTTTTTCACTGCACTACATTTATCTGACGGGTTTAAAAAAACAACATTTTGAGAATCAGAAGATATCATAGAATTACGAGATTACAATTTTTCTTTTTTTTTAAGATAAATTACTGCATTTTCAAGAAAGGAAATCAGGATATTTTGTGTAGGAAAAAAGAGTCGAAAAAAGTCAGATCATTTTGAGGTTTAAAAGATGCAGTAAGATTTATTTTACAAAGTACTGATTTTTGCAGCAGAAATAATTGTCATATTTTGAGAGGTTTTTTCATGATTTAATTTCTTATCTTTTTCAGAAGCTCAGCTGCTTCAGACCAACGGGAAACTCCCGCTGTGGTTCAGGAAACTGGTCAGCATCGTGTGTGTGTGTGTGTGTGTGTGTGTGTGTGTGTGTGTGTGTGTGTGTGTGTGTGTGTGTGTGTGTGTGTGTGTGTGTGTGTGTGTGTGTGTGTGTGTGTGTGTGGTGTGTGTGTGTGTGTGTGTGTGTGTGTGTGTGTGTGTGTGTGTGTGTGTGTGTGTGTGTGTGTGTGTGTGTGTGTGTGTGTGTGTGTGTGTGTGTGTGTGTGTGTGTGTGTGTGTGTGTGTGTGTGTGTGTGTGTGTGTGTGTGTGCTTCCCTCACTATGTTTACACAGTCACGTGTGGGGACTCGCCTCCCTTATGGGGACAAATTGGAGGTCCCCATGACGGGAATCATTCATTTTAGGGTTAGGCTTGTGTTGGTTAAGGTTAGGATAAGTCTCCAGGAAATGCATGTAAGTCAATGTAATGTCCTCTGAAGTGATATATACATGGTATGTGTGTGTGTGTTTTAGCATGGTCAGGGCGGGGCCTCTGCTGCCGTCCAATCAGCCGCTGAGCCTCATCAGGTGAGGAGTCGGTGGGCGGAGCAACGAGACCCTCTAAACATCGTCTCCAACTTCTCCCCGAGTCCCACCCAGAGTCCTGGGGAGGAAGAGGAGGAGCAGAGGGAGGAAGAGGAAGAGCAGAGGGAAGAGGAGGAAGAGGAGGGACACTTCCACCCTCAGAGTCTGGAGAGTCTGCTGGTAGAGGAAGAGGAGGAAGAGGATGAAGATGGAGAGGAGGTGAGCTCAGGAAGTGTCAGTTCCTCAGGAAAAAATGTAACATCTGGAAAAAAGTCAACATTTAAAATAAAAGGTACATTTTAAAAGAAAAGTATAAATCAGAAGAAATTCGCCAAAAAAAAGTAACATTCTGAGAGTAAATTCTGAATCTCGGGAAAATGCAAATGATGAAAAAAAAGGCAAATTATAAAAAAATGTATTTCTAAGAACAAAGTCAAATATTTGGAGAAATAAAATTAAACTTAGCAAAAAAAGTCACATTCTGAGAAACAAATATGAAAAAGTGCTAAACTGGGAAAATCATGGAAACATTTAAATGAAAGTGAAAATCAGAAAAAAGTGAAATTCTTAAAAAAAAATATTTCTGAGAAAAAAAAATATAATTCTCTGAAAAAGTCATTCTGAAAAAAGTCGGGGGGAATTCCCTCAGAATTCAAGAAAGAACGTTTCAATACCCAAATCAGAAATGGTCTGGTGAAGGACTGATTTTATTTAACCAGTTAAGCCCGAAGGTCCCCCCAGTGGACCCCTCCCACAGTTTTTTTTTTTCTCACATGTCTCAGGGCTTCTTAACATTTATGAAACTATTAATGTTTCATACCCTTTTAAAGGTAAGAAACTCCGCTAACTGACAATAAGAACAATTGTTAGCTAAAAAAAACACAAGAGTAATACCAAGCCTTTGAATTAGCATTGAGCGAAAAAATGCGAACTAATGCTAACGCTTTTTTACACACAACACACGGTAGAAATGCCCTTATTACTATCTTAACTGCACAAACAAGATATACGATTGAAAGCTGAGACTCCACAGATTCCACACATATAATGTCATCACTGTCCGACCTCGAATTCCTGGAGCTATCAGCCAGAAAAGAGAAAGTAAACAACATCCGGTTCCAAAAATATTACAATAATTACGTCTTACCTTTTTTGATTTGTGATCAAAAGTTGTGTTCAACGGAATACAAACGCATCTCAAGGTTAATCCAATGTCTTTGTGTCACGTAGAACTTTTTACTGATAATCAATCATCATATTTATGGCAATATACTCGGTATAAAGTATTGCCGTCCAGGCTTGCACTTTCAGATATGCTTCGTTTGCTTCTCTATTACGTCCGCTATGGTAATGTTTACCTAGATTTGGGAACTGCCCATCGATTCTATTGGTTCTGATGGTTAAGAAAAAGGTGTAAATCACACGAATCGACCAATGGGTTCCAGAGATATGGTCCTGCGTAAATTATAAAGAATGCCAGCCAGCTTAAGTACATTACGCAGCCGACTTCATTTATTGTTTACAGCGTAACGAAGCAGGAAATGCAGCAGGACCCAGAGCGCACGGAGCACAGAGCGGACAGCAGATAACGGAATTGCAGTTTTATTGCTTATAGATTATCAGAACATTTCAAAGGGGACACAGTCCCATTGGATATTAATCTATGGATTAACTACATCATCGTTTTTATCGTTTTAATGCCATTGAAGACCAGTTTAGACCAGACAACGAGGAAGGTAAGTCATTGTTAGCCTAGCGCATTAGCGCTAGCGCCATTTGTTTTGATGTACGTTTTTGTTGATAACGTCGCGAGTTTGTATATTTCAGTGTTGAGGTGGGCACCGTTAGATTCTGTGTCTCCTTGCGATCATAAACAATGTGTTGGATGTGCAGCTAGGATAAGTAATAAGGGAGCGAGGAGTGATTTTCGGTGCAGTAATAGGTTAGCATTTTTCGCTCGGGGCTAATTCAGAGGCTCACTGTAAGAGTAAGCCTATGTTTTATTTTATTTTTTTATTTTTTTATTTATTTTTTTTCACAACAGTTGTATTTGGATGGAATGAATACCTATACTGATAATTCAAAGTAATAAAATGATTTTTACAGTGAAAAAGTTCAAATGGAACCGATGGTTCCCAAATTACCCAGAGGTGAGTCCACTTAGACTTTATTTTTCTAAACCTCTCTAAAAAGGTCAAATTTCACTTGTTTTGCATCAATCTTGATACAGGGTACTTATTATATGTTATAGTTTGGATTCCTAAAGCTTTTAGTCTACTAACCCATCATGCAAGGGTGGTTTTCACAATAAGTAAAGGTTTTTTTTTAGGTGGACATTAGAATTTACATGTTTTTACTATGTTCCATCTGAATTTACTTTAAAATAAAAACATCTATATTGATTCTGACACTTCTACATCCAACTCACAGATGTAACCTTGCTTTGAGAAAAATAATTATTAATTTACCCCTTTTAGAAGTGAAGATATATCATTTGTTGTGTTAGTGGCATTTTCGAGCCTGAAACCTGAAAAACAGGCTCAGGGCTTAGCTGGTTAAATGTAATAGTGAATGATCTGGAATTTTATATTAGAAATGTTTAATGTAATTTTCATGATTTTAAAATCGTAATGACTCCAGCGTGTGCTTGCTGCTGATGGATACTATTCCCCCACAATGCAACAGGTGCCGCAGAATCCAGGTGAGAAGAGGAGCAGCTACATCCTGTACCCTGATACCAACACCACCACCGACAGGTACATCTTACTATCATATTTACTTTACTCAACACAACTGAAACTTGAAATAAACACCTGAAATGTAAAAAACACACCTGAAAAAAGAAAAATGCTTGGGTTGAGGCAAACTGGAACACACCTGAAACTTAGAAAACACCTGAAGCTATGAAAAAAACACACCGGCATCCAAAAACACTTAAAATATACACCTGACTAAAAACTAGGGGTGTTGAAAATAATCGTTTCTACGATGCATTGCGATGCGGACGTGGACGATTCGGTCTCGATGCAGTGACGGAAGATAATCGGTTATAGTGTAGTAACGTTGCTTCCGGTCGGTGACGCAGAGATCAGGGAACAGACGTGACAGCGGCACAGCAACACCAAACACGGAGCAGTCTGCTTTATCCATCAACACAAGAACACCAGTCCAGAACCAACAGCAGAAGGACCCGCTCTGAATCACTCCATGTGGCTGCGGCTCAGAGACACAGGGATTTATGTTTTTTTTTAAATAATCGCGTTACAATCATGTCAGGTTTTTGGTGGATTTAATTAAGTCTTGGATTGCAGAGTATGAATGTCCTCTAGCAATTTTCAGACGATATATACGTGTGTAAAGTTTGTGAAGGCAGGAGGAAAAAAGCTTCCGCGATCACCGTCTCCTCTGTTCCTCCAAGCCCCGCCCCCTCCCTGAAAATAATGAGTGACAGGCTGATAGTGACCCGATAGAAACTTTATTATTCACTTAATCACTGAGATATAATGAAGCTAACTTAATCTCATACATTCATGGGATTTATGTAACAGTAAGACAGAGAATGTACGTGTGCACCCACATGCAGTATTTTAGTTGTTATGCTGTTGTAAATACTCCTGTTGTCTGCTGTGTTCAGACTCAAGTCCTGTGTGTGATGCCACATTCAGGACATTCAGTGTCCTTTCTTTAATAGAAGACTGTTGCTAGAAGCTGCAGCTAGACTGCAGAAGCATTATTTTTTTGTTTTTGAGGATGGAACAACTTCACACACTGATAGAGGGAGGCTAGACCTATACAATTCATTTATGTTGGTTTATAAATGAATGTCAAGACATTTATGTTATTGATTTCTGAAGCACTTTCTAAATAATAAAAAGAGAGTTCATATGTATTTACTGCATGTATGCATTGATGAAAAATAAGCCATGTGCAGTAATATAGAAAATTGAGGATGCAACGCATTGGTATGAATCGTGATGCATCGGGATATCAAATTGAATCGAATCGTTGACAGGATAATCAAATCGAATCGTGAGACCAGTGAAGATGCACAGCCCTACTAAAAACCCCAGAAAATGTTAAAAAAACAACAACGGAAACTTAAAAACACACATCTGAACATTTAGGAAAACTCGCCTGCATCGAAAAACACCTAAAGCACACAGCTGATAAAAGTTAAAAAGGGGGCGCCTAAAATACACACCTGGAAAAACAAAAAAAACACCTGAACTGAAACGCGCACTAGAACAAAAACATTTGGGTACATTGGCAGAAGAGTTTGAGTGTTGTCTTTAAAAAGCTTTCCGGACCCTCGGCTAATGATGGGTGTTTCTGTGTTTTCTCAGAGAGTTCGATGTGCAGGGTGCGACCGAGGGAGAGGGGGCGGAGCCTGTGTGGAGCAGAAAGGGGGCGGAGCCTGTGTGGAGCAGCCAGCTGAGTCCAGACTCCGCCCTCTCCGAAGGCTCCGCAGGCAGTCTGGAGCAGCAGCAGGACGCCGGTCAGAGAACTTCACTGCAAACACTTTATCATCTATCAGACCCCAACCCTGAGAATCTGTTAACCACAAAACTGTGCTAAAATGCTGACTCATTTCAGGGTTTATAATGCCCCTTTCACACCAGCGCTTTTTCAGCTCCGGCTCGGAACTGGAGCCTGAAAAGCGCCGATTTTTCCTGTTCACACCGCAGCGGCGCCGGCTCTTAGCTCCGGAATCCGGTTCACTTCCAGCTCCAAAAAATTGTCGGTCTAGAGGCAAGAGCTTCGGAGCTAAGAGGTGGCGTCGCTTACGTCTCTCTTACATCGAGGCGTGCAGGAAACTAAACCCTCCTCCCCTGAACATGGGTCGACTGTCATGCCTGCCTACAAGCAGTAGTGCTTATAAACACACTTTATAAAGTCAGGCAACACTAACCAGGCTTCGTGTGATTCTGTTTATTTGTACCTTACTTTGACCATCCGTTCACTGTCATTGATCATTGTGGAGAGAGGCAGACGTGTTGTTTTGTATTATAGCAGCTATCGGATGGAATCAATACATGGGCTGCACAGGTTGTCGTGTCCGACTATCACAAGTAGAATCATAATAAAAATACGCCGGTAAAATGTGCCTGTAGAAAACGGTTTATGCCACAATAGGATAGCAATAGTAAGTAGTCAGTTTAGCTTCGGTTGCTATGCTAACATCACACATTTTATACCAGAGAAACTTTCATAACAGCGTTGTGATACCAAACAGCGTCAATTCAGACTGACACACATTCACTTAGGCTAAGGGGAACTGGGGATATGTATCAGCTGCTTGTGTGAGTCGGACAGTGAATACTTTAGAGCGGCCGCAGCAGTGTGAGCTAACCGGGAGCTAACGGAGGAGAATAAACTCCCGTGGAAGAGCAGCCAACACTGCAGCGGTCGGTAAATGCTGCAGAAACACATTAATAAACAATGAACCACGGCACTCTGGAGAAAAGTATAAGGTTGGAGAAGTCGTTATTCAATTTAATCTGGCTTCGTGTGATTAAAAGCAACACGATCATCGACCCGACGCAGTTCCCCGTTGTTGTTGTTGTGAGCGCCGTAACGCCGTTGGGGAGCAAATCAGCGATGTAAACGGTGACGTCATGATGCAGCAGCGGCAGCACCGGTCGGGTGCTGGGCGGTGTGAACAGAGCGGGAGCAGAAAAGGGAAACCGGAGCTGAAATAGAAAAGCTCTAGCTCGGAGCTAGAAAGGGAAAAGCGCTGGTGTGAAAGCCGCATAAGACTCATAATAGTGACTCATGACTCATCATGACATGGTTAAAGGACTCATGACTCATCATGACATGGTTAAAGGACTCATGACGCTGACTCGTGACAGGGTGTTAGGACTCATAATGCTGACTCATGTGCTTTCTCTCCTCCCTCAGACACGGACTCACTGAGTCAGGGCAGCTCGGTGGGCAGTCTGATTCTGGAGGAGGACGAGGACTCGCTGAAGATCCACTTCGACACTCTGGCCTCCGGTTTGACCGACGGTAACGAACGTTCTCCATCTATTATGTTAGAGAACTCTCCCTGGTCACCAGCTTGAGCTTCAGCCTCAGGATCCATGTATCTGTGATCCTCTCCAGAATGGAAGGAGTCATCACATACAGAGACTAGTTCCTGAACAGTGTCCTTCACATGCTGATATCAAGAGAGGGAGTCACACAGTCACAAGATGGAGGAATAGAAAGCAGTATTCAATGTTTACTTCAGATTAGCTCCACGTCAGAAATGAGCATGCTTGATGTCTCTCTCCATAGAGGCTGAATCATCATGTTAATCACATAGCTATCATCTGCCTCAAACAGTCCTGATGCTCTTCTAGGTAATCACACATCCTGTCATGTTCTCAGCTACAGTTGATACCTTTGTTAGCATGCTACTCTCATGTTGGAAGAGGACATTCAGGATTTTCCCAACAGTTAGTAGTGCTGCAGATAATTAAATATACTAGAGAAATCTTTCAAAAGTTGATAAAAGTCCTTAAATTGGCACAAACTCCTTTTTTGAGGTTTGTCATCTAGTTTCAACGCTAAATGAAGGAAAATGACATTTTGGTGCTTGTATCCACTTTAACATTGTTACAGGTATAAAATAGAATAGAAAGCTTTAATTGTCATTATATACAAATATACAACGAGATGTTGGAGTGCAACCCTGTCACAATGCACAGAGACGAAAAACAGACCAGTGGGACGGACGAAAGTAAACAATCATCCATACAAAGAACACACACCTGGCCCTCAAAGAACACACACCTGACCCTCAAAGAACACACACCTGGCCCTCAAAGAACACACACCTGACCCTCAAAGAACACACACCTGGCCCTCAAAGAACATACACCTGACCCTCAAAGAACATACACCTGGCCCTCAAAGAACACACACCTGACCCTCAAAGAACACACACCTGGCCCTCAAAGAACACACACCTGGCCCTCAAAGAACACACACATGGCCCTCAAAGAACACACACCTGGCCCTCAAAGAACACACACCTGACCCTCAAAGAACACACACCTGGCCCTCAAAGAACACACACCTGACCCTCAAAGAACACACACCTGACCCTCAAAGAACACACACCTGGCCCTCAAAGAACACACACCTGGCCCTCAAAGAACACACACCTGGCCCTCAAAGAACACACACCTGGCCCCTCAAAGAACACACACCTGGCCCTCAAAGAACACACACCTGGCCCTCAAAGAACACACACCTGACCCTCAAAGAACATACACCTGGCCCTCAAAGAACACACACCTGGCCCTCAAAGAACACACACCTGACCCTCAAAGAACACACACCTGACCCTCAAAGAACACACACCTGACCCTCAAAGAACACACACCTGACCCTCAAAGAACACACACCTGGCCCTCAAAGAACACACACCTGGCCCTCAAAGAACACACACCTGGCCCTCAAAGAACACACACCTGGCCCTCAAAGAACACACACCTGACCCTCAAAGAACACACACCTGACCCTCAAGAACACACACCTGGCCCTCAAAGAACACACACCTGACCCTCAAAGAACACACACCTGACCCTCAAAGAACACACACCTGACCCTCAAAGAACACACACCTGACCCTCAAAGAACACACACCTGACCCTCAAAGAACACACACCTGGCCCTCAAAGAACACACACCTGGCACAGGGCCAACACCTGAAAACACAAGATAAAGACCTGTTAACATAAAAACTACCCGTCGACGCCTCCTCACTCGTTCTTTCTGATCGCTGTCCTTTCAGAGAAGTTCGACACCGACCTGAGGGCTCTGCTGCCTCCGGATGAGAAACGTTACCTGAACCCCCGCCTCAGCATCTCAACCGCCTTCCTGTCGCGCTTCCAGGACAGGATCAGGTCAGATTACCCACAATCCTCGGTGATAGGCACGGTGTGGCTGCGGTGGTAACATTAACTCTGCTCTGCTGTTCTCAGGTTTGGTCCGAGCCGAGCGCCACCTCCCGCTATGACTCCCAGAATCTCAGAGGAGAGCTACGTCAGCAACTCATCGGTACACACAAAGCACACACACCTGACACACAAAGTACACACACCTGACACACAAAGTACACACACCTGACACACAAAGTACACACACCGGACACACGAAGTACACACACCGGACACACGAAGTACACACACCGGACACACAAAGTACACACACCTGACACACGAAGTACACACACCGGACACATGAAGTACACACACCTGACACACGAAGTACACACACCGGACACACAAAGTACACAGACCTGACACACGAAGTACACACACCGGACACACAAAGTACACATACCTGACACACGAAGTACACACACCTGACACACGAAGTACACACACCGGACACATGAAGTACACAGACCTGACACAAACAGTACACACACCTGACACACAAAGTACACACACCTGACACACAAAGTACACACACCTGACACACAAAGTACACACACCTGACACACGAAGTACACACACCTGACACAAAAAGTACACACACCTGACACACAAAGTACACACACCTGACACACAAAGTACACACACCTGACACACAAATTACACACACCGGACACACAAAGTACACACACCGGACACACAAAGTACACACACCTAAGTACAAACACCTGACACATGAAGTACACACACCGGACACACAAAGTACACACACCTGACATACAAAGTACACACACCTAAGTACACACACCTGACACACAAAGTACACACACCTGACACACAAGTACACACACCGGACACACAAAGTACACACACCGGACACACAAAGTACACACACCTAAGTACAAACACCTGACACATGAAGTACACACACCGGACACACAAAGTACACACACCGGACACACAAAGTACACACACCTAAGTACAAACACCTGACACATGAAGTACACACACCGGACACACAAAGTACACACACCTGACATACAAAGTACACACACCTGACACACGAAGTACACACACCGGACACACGAAGTACACACACCGGACACACAAAGTACACACACCTAACACACCTGAGTACACACACCTGACCACACAGCACTAGCAGCCCCTGCAGAGCTGAATGTGGTGAGTTTGTTTTCAGGTGAGCTCGGACGCGAGCAGCGAGGCCAGCTGCTCTGAATCCACCCAGAAAGAAACCAGCATCAGCGGTGCCGGTGAGTCGCCTGTTCCTCATCTGTGATGACTTGTGAATTATTAATTCATTATTATTCATTATTGCGCGGTGAAGCCGTTGTTATAAAGCGTCAATTTGGAAGAATCTTCCTTGCTATGTAAGTTGTTGTCAGGGTTGGGAGGGTTACTTTGTAAATGTAATCAGTTACTGATTACTGAATACGGCTCTGAAAGTAATCCGAATACAGTTACAGTTACGTGTCTTAAAAAAGTAACGTAATCAGATTACTTTTAGATTACTTTTGGATTACTTTCTTTTTCCATCACAGATGGATGTGTTAGTGAACAGGAGACACAAAAAGCAAAAGGAAACTGAACGTGTTTTACTGTTTTAATGGCGTATCAAGAGCACAACTGAAACATAACCTCTGAAACGATGCAACAACATAATACACTCTCTGGGGATGCAGCTTGGGATGTGAGGAGTGAGGACACGGCTTAGAACGGGCGTGTCGCCTTCTGTCCTGCCAGTGTTGGCAGGACATGAATTAAAATGTCAAACTCGGACTTCATTTTAAGGACATTTCGGCCAGGGGTGTAGAGCTATATTTGTTTAAGCACCGGATTGGCAAAACAGGAGAGTGTGTGCACCAGTCTGCCTTGATCTATGAATTAATGTCCGTGACTCTCACAGTATCTGCTGCCCACAGCTGCTTTATGGAAGGAACACCTCCTTCACTTCATGACATCTCTGCAGCACCAGGAGGCAGCGAGAGGGTTAACTCAGCCTCTGAGAAGACGAGCATGCAGTGCCTTTCACGCACCGCCTTCACTGTGTTTACCTTCAGAAATAATCATTAGTAAGGCTAAAGAAAGAGCGACCGCAGGCTGATGTGTTTTAAACCACACACACGCGATTTAAACGCAGACTTTTGTTCCTCCATGTTTCGTTGTTATTGTTTCACTGAGCGAGCGGACCCGCGATTTTTTTTCAAACGCTTTTTTGGTCCATCTGCGGCGGTAATAGGTTTTGTGGGCTGTGATGATTCGGCTGTACCTTTAGTAATGAATATTAAATGTTGTGAGGAAATCTTTCCACCAATAATTCCAATAAGTATTCCAAAATGTATTCACTTCAGGTTTACGAAAGTAACTGTAATCAGATTACTCGTTTTTCAAATGTAACGCGAGCTGAATACAGTTACTTGATTTTTGTATTCTGATTACGTAACGCTGTCACATGTATTCCGTTACAACCCAACCCTGGTTGGTGTGCAGGTAACATGCAGAACAATGAAGTAATGAATAAACAAGCGGAGCATTAGAGGAGATCCCTTTCAAATGCTGAATGTGCAGCATAACCTGAGACACATGTTAGTCGTAAACTGCACTTTGCTTTAGTAGTAAACAAAGCTAAGTGCAGAGTAACGAAGCATGTACCTTGTAACCACGTACTGCGCGTAAAATAACCCACAAAGTCAAGTACGGAGTAATTTGCAAAGTAACACCACTATGACATTAAAGAGCAACATGCACGGTACCGTTTAACGTGCAAAGTAATGGTGCGATAACGATTTTTTTTAAGGGTTGCGATTACATGTTCAGTCCAGGGCTCTCGACTAACTTGTTTCACCATCCTCCCGGGACGTCCTTAAGCTCGAGCCCTGGTTCAGTCATTGCAAAAGCGTGGATAGATGCGAATTCGTACCGGCTCACGTTGTTTAAAAGTTTAGATGTTCTTGTGACGCTGTCTTTTAAAGCCAATCAGCGGTGAGAATCTCAGCCTGTCGTCACTGACGGTGTTGAATCAGGAAACCCAACATTAGCTGTTAGCCATTAGCTGTTAGCAGTTAGCACACAGAGCTCACTGCTCCTCATGTCTGATCAGAAGAACAGGAGAAACATCAGAGTTTAATGCAAACGTCTGTGGAGAACGCAGTCTTTATTTCTGTCTGTATGAAGTTGTTGTGGACGAAGCAGCTACATGCTAGCTTAGCACGATCTCCATTCAGATTTTTTTTTTAAAGTTTCTTGCCTGTCGTCTCCAAAAGCATGAATTAATTGTTTTTACTAACCGGTGTCATTATGTAGTTATTCCGGCATCTTTTCAATAGCTGTCACGGTAAAATATGTTTATTTTGTTGTTGTTGGTATCCACATGGAGATAAGCCCCGCCTCCTTGCCAGCGCTTCTCGTTTGAGTGACACGAGTAAACACCCATGATGCTGCGGTGGTCAAACTCACGTGACTAATCTTCGCTGATGTACTAATTGTATTTGTATTGAGTCGTGCAAGTAGGTAGAAAGTAAAAATGTAAAGTCATTCACAGAGTAACGTAGAGATTAATGCATGTAAACGTTGGAGAGCGATGCTTGTTCGTCACGGTTTAAACGACAACTAAAGTTATGTACGGTGTTACGTTCCCTCCTAATCTAGGGTTACGAAGGGGAGTAACAAAACACAGAAATGAACAGGCACGAGAAAAAAGAGCGGAAACTGATCTTCTGAAGCCACAAAGGGAGGTTTAATTACAACGATGGACAAGCAGAAAACGGGATCACCAGCCAACTTGCAAAGCAAATTAAGATACAAATATAATCGGGTCCCACACAGAGACACCATGCAGCAGCCAGAGGAGAAGGGGAGAGCCACTGCAGCTTTTCTCAGGTCCTTTATGGAGGCCCTGATTGGTGATTGGGAGCACCTGGAGGAGAAGCTGCACCTGGAGGGAGAGGCTGCACCTGGAGACAATATAGAGGGAGAGAGAGAAAGACACGCAAACACCAGCACCCATTACGGCACGTAACATACGGAATAACACGAGTCATTTATGTAGGTGGAGATTCACGTAAAGAATACTTTCATTTCTCTAAATTACTATTTTTAACCAATCGTTACATGAAATCTTCGGAAAGTTCAATGCACAAAAAAAAAGAGGCTCCAGGACGCTTCCCTGAGGGACTCCACGTGTAATTGAATCTTCAAAACTTTATTCATATCGCAGCTTTTGAACAAATCTAAACTCACTTACGAAGTGTGTGTGTGTGTGTGTGTTCGTGTGTGTGTGTGTGTGTGTGTGTTAAGTGCTTCACCGTAGAGCTTCCAGCATGATTTCCCATCAGTCTCTTCGCCGCCTCAAACGCAGACGACACACTGTGGTTCACGTCCAGTGCAGAGACATGCTGCAAGGTGTGTGTGTGTTTATGTGTGTGTGTGTGTGTGTGTGTGTGTGTGTGTGTGTGTGTGGTCACTCGGGTGTTTTGTCTTGGTTTTTCTCGGATTTTGTTCTGCCCTAAAACTCACGGAGGTCAAACTTGGAGTGTTTTTTATAAAATGTTTGTTAGTGTCCAGGTGTGTATTCAGACACAGGTGTGGTTTTCACGATCAAGGTGTGTGTGGTGTTTACTCGTCAATATAACTCTCATTAGTCCTTGTTGGTGTTTCACAATGTGATCACGTATTCTAAACGGTCACTCACTCACAGTGGGGGGGTCTCACCTTTTTCGCCTCTACCTGAAATTATATCTAATTTCTTACTTATTTCACTGAAGTTTTCACATATTTTATTTAAACAAATTGAAACTTTAATATATTTTTTCGCTTATTTTTCCCAGAACACTAGAAATCCATCTTAACAGTCTCACAGTGGGGTCTCACTTTTTGTATCTTACCTGTAATTTTTAAATGTTCACATATTTTACAGCATTTTGTTTTAAAACTTTTTGACACTTTTTTTACGGACTTTTTTTTGTTAAAACATTTTCCACATGTTTTTCAGAAACACCAAAACGGATCATTGATCTCTGAAAACATAATCCGATCTAAACAGTCTCACAGTGGGGTCTCACCTTTCTCACCTTTACCTGAGACTTCTTCTCCTTCTTCAGACGTCACCTCCAGGACTCTCAACCTCAGCCTGGGCTCGGCTGCCCAGCAGGGGGTGCCACGGCTCGGATACTTAGGGACCACGGCCAGCTCCAGGGCCAAAAAGGGCCAAGACCCCGCCTCTGAGGAGAAGGAGAACCTGGACCTCCAGAGCAGTGACCAGGACCAGACCTGCAGGTAACCCCAATAAGGATCTGTGCATTCGTATTAATTTTAATCAAAATATTGTTTAAATATTTAGAGAAAAACGCTGGTCGAATATTATAAAATGTCTACTTTTATTTGTCGACTTGTTGTTTATTTTAAAGCTCTCTTATCATGCAAAATGCACTTTTCGATGTCTTCTCTACATCACCGTGTGTCCCGGTGTGTCCCCGGTGCGTCCCCGGTGTGTCCCCTGTGTGTCCACGGTGTGTCTCCGGTGTGTCCCCGGTGTGTCCGTGTGTCCCCGGTGTGTCCCCGGCGTGTGTCCCCGGTGTTTCTCCGGTGTGTCCCCGGTGTTTCTCCGGTGTGTCCCCGGTGTGTCCCCGGTGTGTCTCCGGTGTGTGTCCGGTGTGTGTCCGGTGTGTGTCCGGTGTGTGTCCGGTGTGTCAGGAGACTCTCAAAGTGTCAGAAATAAACCCCTCTCTCTTCTCCTCCGTACCCACGTCTCTAAAAACGGGGAACAACGGAGCTGATCCAGATTTGCTGCGTCATGACCACATTACTCAAATGTGGGCGGGCTTTACCCCCACGGGCCAATCAGAAGCGTTGCTGTCAGAAACAAAGAGACGTGTTCTGGAAGTAATATGGTCTGTGTTTACATTAGCATGCTAACACTCAGAGCTAACCTGTACTGGAGAGAGAGTGTGTGAAGAAGCAGGAAATCAAAAGGAAGTCACCTTGTGGTAAACCTGAGAAAGAGTTTGAGCTCCATCCTGTTTCAGAGAGAATCCTTGATGTGGTTTGTTGTTTTTTTTCAAGCTAAGGACCCAGAATCAGCACTTTAGAGACAGGGCTATGATATGAAGAATGTCTAAAAGTCATGATCTGTTTGGTATTTTGAGCAAAACACATCGTAGACATGTTTTTTATATATTTGTATATATCTGAGAGCCATAATATATGCCTAAAAATAGTTTTGTTTTTTCGGACCAGCCCGCAGGAGTTGGCCACGCCCCCCGCTATGATGTCACTGGGCGGAGCCACGCCCCCTGATGTGGTGTCACTTGGTGGAGCCACGCCCCCCGCTGTGATGTCACTGGGCGGAGTCAGGAGGTGGAGCCTCTGCAGCGAGGAGGAGACCCTGACCAATCAAAACCTAACTATCATCATAAGCCCCACCCCCACACGTGACACCATCGCCTCTGACATCATCGAGCAGGAGGCGGGAGATCCAGGTGAGGTGTTCAGGGACGTCGGGAAATTACCTTTTCTCGTTTTCTGTTGTTGAGTATATGAGTTTTTCTTGAATTCATTATTAAATCTACCTTTTTTTTAAATTCCTTTTTTGTTCCAGGATCATTAGACCCCCCCCGCCTCTTCCTCTTCTCCTCTGACGGAAACACAGCACCCCCCTACAGGTCATTATTATGAATTAACACCTTTACGTCATTTCTAATGCAACCAATGGACGTACATCTTGCTCACTTATTATACAAAATCCACTTCTTCATGTCTCTTCTACATCAACATGTGTCCCTCTTCTTCATGTCTCTCTACATCAACATGTGTCCCCTCTTCTTCATGTCTCTTCTACATCAACATGTGTCCCCTCTTCTTCATGTCTCTTCTACATCAACATGTGTCCCCTCTTCTTCATGTCTCTTCTACATCAACATGTGTCTCCCTCTTCTTCATGTCTCTTCCTACATCAACATGTGTCCCCTCTTCTTTCATGTCTCTTCTACATCACATGTGTCCCCTCTTCTTCATGTCTCTTCTACATCAACATGTGTCCCCTCTTCTTCATGTCTCTTCTACATCACATGTGTCCCCTCTTCCTCATGTCTCTTCTACATCAACATGTGTCCCCTCTTCTTCATGTCTCTTCTACATCAACATGTGTCCCCTCTTTCTTCATGTCTCTTCTCATCAACATGTTCCCCTCTTCTTCATGTCTCTTCTACATCAACATGTGTCCCCTCTTCTTCATGTCTCTTCTACATCAACATGTGTCCCCTCTTCTTCATGTCTCTGCTATCATCAACATGTGTCCCCTCTTCTTCATGTCTCTTCTACATCAACAATGTGTCCCCTCTTCTTCATGTCTCTCTACATCAACATGTGTCCCCTCTTCTTTCATGTCTCTTCTCCTACATCAACATGTGTCACCCCTCTTCTTCATGTCTCTTCTACATCAAACATGTGTCCCCCTCTTCTTCATGTCTTCTTCTACATCAACATGTGTCCCCCCCCGTCTTCTTCCATGTCTCTTCTACATCAACATGTGTCCCCTCTTCTTCATGTCTCTTCTACATCAACATGTGTCCCCCTCTTCTTCATGTCTCTTCTACATCAACATGTGTCCCCTCTTCTTCATGTCTCTTCATCAGACATGTGTCCCCTCTTCTTCATGTCTCTTCATACATCACATGTGTCCCCTCTTCTTCATGTCTCTTCTACATCAGCATGTGTCCCCTCTTCTTCACGTCTCTTCTACATCAACATGTTCCCCTCTTCTTCATGTCTCTTCTACTCAGACATGGTGCCCCTCTTCTTGCATGTTCTCTTCTACCTCACATGTGTCCCACGTGTCAGCTCTCACTTCCATGTCTCTTCTAATGTCTCTTCTACATCAACATGTGTCCCCCTCTTCTCCATGTCTCCTTCTAAATCAACATGTGTCCCCTCTTCTTCATGTCTC